AGGGAAAGTGCATTTCACACTCTACTGAAGCAAAGCAAGCAATTTGAAATTAATCAAAACACAATAAGTTTACAACATGATAAAGAGGTGCTATACAGTATATGAAATGAAGGGAGTCAATTTATGATACTCAGCCCTCTATTCATTTAAAATAGTAGTTGCCAAAAGTATCATTTGGATTAAATGATATTACTGGTGAGGAGTTTGCAATATTTACCTTTTAAAAGAACAAATCTTAGTTATCATTTCTGGATACTTAAACAACAGACTGTACATGTGGCTATCGAAAAGCCCTCAAGAAACAAAATTCTCTCTTTCAACAGTTAAGGATAAATAACAATAATAATAAGTTATATATAGAATCAGCCTTTGACATAAAAAGGTACACTATCAGTGAAGCCAGGCACTGAATGTCAGCACTCCCAATAACAATAGTACTAACTTTAACAGAGAACCTTGAATCAGAGAGGAGCGCATTTCATGCTCAGGGTCAGATTATCATGTGTGATTTGGGCAATCAATGTATTTTGTTTCATTTGAACGGCCCATCAGATTCGCCAGCCCAGCTATAAAAAAATCAAGCAGACATATATCGAGTTACATGCATCCCAGTTAGATAAGCTATTGAACAGCAAGTAACTGCACATTAGTTGTTCCATTTATTTGTAGCTGTTGATAGTAACCCTATAAGATTAACCTATGGCCATTGTTGATAATTGTTCAGTATTAAAAAGTATCAACTTGATGATGACTTGATGTTGAAATTCAGTTGCAGACATGTTAATATGATCATTTTGATGGTATTCTTATGAATTTTTTGTCTACATTTGTTTCTCTTCAGTTACCTTGAAGGTACCCATAGCTGCACCAAACAATAGCCGGGAGATCACAGTGCACATCCTCCCTCATTAGGAATGAGTACTATGCCTCCTTGGCTTGAAATTCTGACGGGGAGATTAAGGAAGGTTCCAACCTATTCATAACCCCCCCACCCCCCTATTCTCCACAGGATACTTGGCATGGAGGCAGAATCCTCTCCTGTTCAGCTGGACTGGTCTATTTCCGATGTGCCTCCGATGCCATGTTTGGAGCGTGTCTCTGAATGGCTTGTACCTCTTTATCCCAGCAGCACACAGGCCTACGAGACATTTTCCTCAGAGCTTACCAGCTGCTTTTCTCAGCTAGAATGACTGTGTGCTTAATTCAGCCCCCTAATCCTAGCAAAACCAAACATATCTTCAGAATGCTTTCACCATCTATCAGACAAATGTAAACTTTACGTTTTTTGCATCTCCTTTAGTTCACTGTATCTGTTTATTTCTCTCCACAAAGTATTGTGTCTGTACTCCAAAGTAATGAATTCTGACAAAACAGAAACATCAGCAAGAACGCATAGTGTCAAAAAACATTTGCAATAGCTATCGCAATCAGTAGGACAGATGCTATGTCAACAGAAAAGTAGCCCAAAAATCAATTTCAGTAACCAGAGTTGGTCTGATGAAGTAATGTAATGGCTGTTGTTGCAGTTATCACTGCATTTGCTCAGTCCATACTTTGCTTCATATGCTTAACTACACAAGGCTGAAGTAGGTCAGTGTTGAGGTAGCCTAAACATTTTTCACCTGCATGTCACTGGAATGTCATGTTTGTGGCAGATTTGGCTTTACAGTATGCCAGATATGTTTTTTTGCAAGAGCTCAGCTTTACTTACAAACAGCATTTTTCAGCGGTCTGTGTGCTGAATTCAGCACTTGTTACACTTGTTAAAATTGTGCAATTGTATTCCTTATTTTCATTCTAGTTAAACTATTACATTGTTTTTAGTTTTTTTATTTTATTTTATTTTTATTCTTTCTCTCTTGTGGACAGTCCAAGGATGCCAGTTCTATGGGATCAAATAAATATAAGTAGAATCTCACTCAAGCTGGTCGTTTGTCCAATTTATAAAGCATAACAATGACAACACAAG